GACCCCAGCATCTCCAGATATTATTCCAAAAGAAAACTTGTGAACTATCATTTAAAAAGATCTATATTAGACTGGAAAGCAATATTTAAGCAAAAATCTCTGAAAAGCAAAATTATGTAATGCGAGTAATTTTATATTGATAGTGTTATATCTCGTGCAAGATATAATAAACAAAGTAAACCCGAGTGTTGGTTTTTTCAATAATAATTTTATAATCGGATGTAGGTATATCAAAATACAGAGACAGAGTCAGGAGTCAGCTAACCGCAATAGGTGTTAACAAACGAAGACCTTTTTTCTCACTGTCCGTGGTGGTCGTACTTAATCGGCAACCAGTCCGTCCATTATCGTGAATGGGGAAGTTGGGTTATCTCATCACAACAGATAGATACATACATATATATATATATATATGAACAGACTAAATATAGGTAGTTCTTTAGATATGTATTAAAAGATTCATATCTATCTATCTATCTATCTATCTATCTATCTATCTATCTTTATCTTATGCAGTGTTACATTAGAACATGTAAATATAACATCTTTTACAAATTGATTTTTGTTTCAACGTCAAAAAAATAGGAAAAAATTTTCAGACGTCTCATCAGGTGGGGAATTACGTTGTTACTAAAAAATTTTAACATCGAGGATTCCCGCACATTTGAAACGTCTAAAAAGGTTTTTTTTTTTGGCGTTGAAACAAAAATGTACACTTTTGTAGTGGATATATGCATTTTCTAATGTAACACTGTATAAGATAAATAAATATTTACGGCTCTACTTGATGTATTGAGCACTATTTTTAAATGAATGATTTGAACGCTGTAATCCTACTGTTCGTTCTACACTTTGGCATATATATATATATATATATATATATATATATATATATATATATATATATATATATATATTAGTTATTATTACTCAAGCGTTATTTTAATGTATATCCGTCTTTAAGTAAACACTCAGTCTATTTTAAACAATATTAATTTCTTCTAGTGGCCTACCTGGGTACCCAAGAAAATTTAATAAAGTTGATGTGCTCCCCACCCGGCATTTTCTTTAGTAAGTTTTCTCGAGTACGCTGACCGGTAAACGAAATAAGTACTGTTTAAAATAATAAAATATATCGAATATAATTAATAAGAACATAAAAGAGAAAATACACACACAAACACACACAAACACACACACACACACACACACACACATATATATATATATATATATATATATATATATATTCCCGCGGAGCTATGTAAAGTACCAGGTTGAGAACTGACGCGGGCAAGCTGCCCTTTATGAGGAGTCTATCTGAGAGTCTATCTGAGCTTTGGTTAGCAATCTTTTTAGTGTTGGTTTGACGGTAAAAAGATTTCAGATGGGAAGGAAAACTCATGACAGCTTAACCCGGTCATTATATTGCATGTGTCTGCTGAGAGGCGTGTACTGACTGGTATTGACTGTGATCCGAAGAGGTTTAACTCCGCGGTAACAAATGAGGACTGTCGTTTGGAGTTTCCGTGGCAAGTCTTTTGCACTGTTACTTTTTTTATCAACAGATTCAAAAAGTGTGGATGGTCCGACACAAGCCTTCACCACTTGAAACAAATCAACTTCATCTTGGCATTTGGAATTTATGAATTCTTCAGGACAACAACTCAGCACCAGAAAGAAAAACAGTTCCGGTCGCATTGTAGCTAAAGAAGTACAACATAGATATAGCTGCACAGGGAATAACCATCAGTCGACTACATAAAATGAGAAAGCAAAATAAGACATCTAACATTGTTCCTGCTGCACTTGGATACAATGCATTCTCCTGTACCGTTTGTGGCAATTCTCAAGCCAGTCTCAAAAGTCATGCCCGTCATAGGCATGCAGATAATTAGTTCGTGGTCGTCGGAACCTCATACGTCGAACTCGACGGGAGAATCCATTACACACACACACACACACACACACACACACATATATATATGTATGTGTGTATATATATATATATATATATATATATATATATATATATATATATATATAGATAGATAGATAGATAGATGGATAGGATAGATAACAGCAATATCAGGCCCAAAATGGAGTACTGTTGCCACATTTGTTCAGGAGCCAACCAGATATCACTTTCCAGTTCTGATAGAGTCCAAAAGTGTCTCAAGAGTCCTTGTTGGAGAAGAATTATTTTCCACCCTCCAAACTCTCTCTCACAGGCCGGATGTGGGAAGTCTCTCACAGCTCTATTGCTACTACCATGGAAAGTGCTCGGTTCTGCCAGGTTTAACCTTCACAGCTAAGACCCGCCATGCCACTTATATAGTAGCACAACACCCTCATTAACCTCTGTATTCAATCGGTGAGAAGTAAGTTCCACTCGAACATCTTCTTCCTGCGAACTAATGCCCTATGGTACAGACTCCAAAGAGATTGTTTCCCCGATCACTACAATTTTAACCAGTTCAAGTTTAGGGTCAACCATTATCTTCCTCTTCTATCCATTTAAACTACCCTTTGACGTAAACCTCTACCAAGAGTCGCCCCCGAGATTTGTATAGGGTGAATCTTACTGTAAAAAACGATAGATAGATAGATAGATAGATAGATAGATAGATAGATAGGGATAGCCTTAGATAGATAGATAGATAGATAGATAGATAGATAGATAGATAGATAGATAGATATGAACAGCCTTAGATAGACAGATAGATAGATAGATAGATAGATATGAACAGCCTTAGATAGATAGATAGATAGATAGATAGATAGATAGATAGATAGATAGATAGATAGATATGAAAAGACATATATTAGACAGACAGACAGACAGACATATATTAAATGAGTATGAGATAATAGATATACAGATAGGTATATAGATAGTGGGGCACCTCGAGGTCGTGTAATGGTTAGCAAGCTTGTCTCGCTAGAACAATTACGACTGATTAGTGAGTTCGATCCTCACTGGGTGCCCCATACTTTCGGCCTAGTGCCGCATCTAAGCTATGTTTGGAAAATCACTAGCTATATAGATAGTAATAAATCTCGAAGAAATTAATCGATTTTTAATCCGACATGTTTTATTACTTAAAAAAAAATCATATTATAGTCGATAGTCTTCATATTGTAAGGTTTAGTTGAGGTATAAATAAATATGGTTCTTTAAACCGGACAGAATTCTAAAACCTCTGCAACAGATTTGGTAAACATGAAACATGAATTTCCTTGTCATTAGTTATATTTTTACGTGTGGTAGATGCATACTGACATGCATATATACATACTAGAGTTAGTGAAATGTAAGTTGAGAACATTTTTACCCTTGACATACAAAAATCATTTTACACCTTGCACCTCTATTTCTGTCTAATGTTTTATGGTTGCAGTGATTTTTGTTGGGATATCTGGCTATTACAAGAGGTATTGCTTACCCCCTGTTGCCATGTGTTTTTATATTACACAATGTTTTAATTCCAATAAATATATGCTTAACCGTATCTTACTCATAGATAGATAGATATGAACAGATTGATATATATATATATATATATATATATATATATATATATATGATCAGGTTGAGGTAGATAGAAGGATAGATAGATAGATATGATCAGGTTGAGGTAGATAGAAGGATAGATAGATATGATCAAGCTGACATAGATAGATAGATATATATAGATAGATAGATAGATAGATAGATAGATAGATAGATAGACAGTCAGATAGATATATCTAGATAGATAGATAGATAGATAGATAGAAATAGACCAAAATAGATAGAAAGAAAGAAATAGACTAAGATAGATAGATAGATAGATAGATAGATAGATAGATAGATAGATAGAAATAGAAATAGATAGATAGATAGATATATAGAAATAGACCAAGATAGATAGATAGAAAGAAAGAAAGAAAGAAAGAAAGAAAGAAATAGACCAAGATAGATAGATAGATAGATAGAAATATACCAAGATAGATAGATAGATAGAAATAAACCAAGATAGATAGATATATAGAAATAGACCAAGATAGACAGAAAGAAAGAAAGAAAGAAAAAAAGAAAGAAAGAAAGAAAGAAATAGACCAAGATAGATAGATAGATAGATAGATAGAAATAAACCAAGATAGATAGATATATAGAAATAGACCAAGATAGACAGAAAGAAAGAAAGAAAAAAAGAAAGAAAGAAATAGACCAAGATAGATAGATAGATAGATAGATAGATAGATAGATAGATAGATAGATAGAAATAGACCAAGGTAGATATAGGGAAGCTATATATAATTTTTATACATTAGAAAATTACGAAAATTTTAGGGAAAAAAACTGACAACAGGGAAAAAAGTTTTCGTGTGACACGTTTTGTCCTTTATGACATCGGCAGACTAAAATGATCTTTACTTTGATATGACTACACGTGCGCACAAAGGAAGGGGACGATGAGTATTTTTTCATGAATTTTTTTCAATATACTTTTGGGGTATATAATCTGATTTAGTCACTTCGACGTGGTGTAATGGTTAACAAGCTTTTTCCGCTAGATCAGTTACGACTGAATGCTACATAGATAGATAGATAGATAGATAGATAGATAGATAGATAGATATGAATAGACTAAGATAAATAGATACATAGATACATCGATAAGCATGTGTAGACTGAGGTAAATACACACACACACTTAAATATGAACAGACTGCGATAGATAGATAGATAGATAGATAGATAGATAGATAGAAACATATATACATACATATGAGTAGACTGATATATATATATATATATATATATATATATATATATATATATATAAATAGATACATACATACATACATACATACATACATAGCTACATAGATATAAATAGACTGAGATAGATAGATAGATAGATAGATAGATACGAACAGACCGAGATAGATAGATAGATAGATAGATAGATAGATAGATACATACATACATACATACATACATACATACATAC